ATAATACAATCTAAAAACTAAATTATAACAAAAAATTATTTTATTGGATAAACTGATATAGTTCATTTTATAAAATTATTTAAATACTTATAATTTTATTTATATATATTTTTAAAAAATATTTAAATAATTTTATAAAACGAAAAATATACTGTAAAATAGCTTCCTGAAATCAATTCTGTAAAATGAAAAAAGTGCTGACAATAGAAAATAAATATATAAAGAAAATTTTAAAAATAAATTGACTACTACTGTTGATAGTCCATGGGATGGGAGACACATTCCTCTGTGTTGGACCTCACCTAACTGCCCCGTTAAAATTAACCTTCAAAAGAAGGTCGGGAAGGTTTCCATCAGTTTTGTAGCTGGAAACATTTTCCCGGAAAAGAAACGAAAAAGAATGCTAGAAAGCAAACACCCACTTTCGCCTTCACCAACCCCTACCTCCTTTTTCACTTCCCCCACCGCCATGACTTGATAGCGTTCTGTGCACAAGAAAGCGATAAAGGAGGGTTCTTTAACGTTCACGGGGTGAAATTGACACCAAGGAAGGATGGGTTCGTCTCTATCGAACCTGACGGAGGGGACGAATGGCTTGGTGATGCGACCGGGACTTGGGGACATACCGGAGAGCTGCGTGGCGTGCGTGTTTATGTACCTGACCCCGCCTGAGATTTGCAACTTGGCGAGGTTGAATCGGGCGTTTAGGGGTGCCGCGTCGTCGGACTTGGTGTGGGAGAAGAAGCTGCCGTCTAATTACCAAGATCTGCTCGATTTGTTGCCGCCTGAAAGGTACCAGAACTTGTCCAAGAAGGATATCTTTGCGCTTCTTTCTCGACCGGTTCCTTTCGAGGATGGCAATAAGGTGCGTGCTGACTTTTTCTGTGGTTTCTTTTTAGTTTTAATTCTATATTTGTTGAAAGAATTGCTCTGTTCGTATTTCGGGTTAAGCTGGACCTTGAGTCAGTCCTTTCTATGTGTTGAATTTGTCCCCCCCCCC